GTGCCATGTCATCTGCTGGTGTTGGTCCATTGTGTTTTCTGAGGTCCAGGGTCAACGCAGCCACATACCAGGAAGTTTTAGAGCACTTCATGCTTCCTGCAGCTGACCAACTTTTTGGAGATGCAGATTTCATTTTCCAACAGGACTTGGCACCTGCACACAGTGCCAAAGCTACCAGTACCTGGTTGAAGGACCATGGTATCCCTGTTCTTAATTGGCCAGCAAACTCTCCTGACCTTAACCCCATAGAAAATCTATGGGGTATTGTGAAGAAGAAGATGCAATACACCAGACCCAACAATTCAGAAGAGCTAAAAGCCACTATTAGAGCAACCTGGGCTATCATAACACCTGAGCAGTGCCACAGACTGATCGACTCCATGCCACGCCGCATTGCTGCAGTAATACAGGCCAAAGGAGGCCCAACTAAATACTGAGTGCTGTACATGCTCATACTTTTCATGTTCATACTTTTCAGTTGGCCAACATTTCTATAAATCCTTTGTTTTTATTGGTCTTCAGTAATATTCTAATTTTCTGATATGATGAATTTGAGATTTTCATTTGTTGTCATTTGTAATCATCAAAATTAAACAAAATAAACATCTGAAATATATGAGTTTGTATGTAATGTATGAATATAATATACAAGTTTCACTTTTTAAATGGAATTACTGAAATCAATCTACTTTTTCATGATATTCTAATTTTATGACCAGCACCTGTAAATCGAGCAGAGGGATTCCTTTATATAATCTTTCCCTTTTTTCTAAAATGTTGAAAAGATTTCCTGTAATTTAGCAGGCTATACTTTTCATATCTCCCACTAAGCTCTTTCTTTGCAAAACTTTACACTAATTGTCTCTATTCTTTAAAAAATCCTATACAGCTTGCAATTATTTATTTCAACTTATATTATATATTCCAATTTATTAATTTCAGCAGTATGCATGTTTATGTGAAGCACCTATCAGCAATTTTTATACCATATTATTGGCAATAAAGCTTTTTCTGATTTTGATGCCTTCTGGTAAGTACTGTATGAGGATTGCAGCATAAACACTTTGAAGTATCAGGACCTTTGATTTAAAAATGTTAAGTGAATCTTTCAGCAGTGTAGTGATGCAATACTGTATATGGCCATGTATGAAATGGAAATAAGTAATTATTGCCCTTGGTGATGTAAGGGGATTGTCTAATGATCAACAGCCAAAGAATCCTCCCATTGTTTCCCTCAGCATGTTGAAGAGACATAGGAGAAGGCTGGGTGCTCTCTCTTTGACAAAGTAGGACAGTGTTGATGAAAAGCATAATTAGAATTGTGCTCATTTTGATTTTATTTTCAAACAATAGTGCCGTTTTGGAAATTTTTCTTCAAATGCACTGAATAAAAGATACCTTTTTCAGTTTTTGTTTAATCTTGCACTTTTTCTGCAGTGACATGTAACGCTCTGTGAAGAAAATTTTGTTCATGGCAAAAGCACACTTTTACCATGGAGCAAGTACTAAATTTACTTCCCCTTCATTGCACAGCAAAGCCTAATAAGCTATAAAAATACTGTCCACAAAGCTGAAAGATGTGGTGCTCACCAAAATATTTTGTTGTGAAGCAGCATCTATTGAGCTAAATGATCACTTGATGACTATTAAAGCTGATGAAAGTCTGGCCAGGATAAGTAGATAAGTTGAGCTCTGGGAAATGCACTAAAACTTCAAGCATTAACACTTAATGAACATTTCCGTCATTTTTGTTTTTTTGTATATTTTCTTAAGACTTAAATATGATTTTACCATTCAGAGAAAATAGGATGTTTTATATCAGAGACCTTTAACATCAGTTCAAATCTGGCTGATTTGACTTTACAATCTGTCACTATTTATTGTTATCCATATAACAAAACTGTTGATGCCTTTATAAACTAAAGCTATGTTTAGGCACTGATATACACAACAGCCTATGCGGTTTAAAAAGCTGTAGTATTACAAACACACCAAGAAAAGGCCTGCATTGCTTTAACGGGACAGGAGTCCTATAATTGTCCACCATACAGATGTTTTATAATCACTTTATGTGAGCAATTTAAAAACTCCCTTGGGGTCCGAGGCTAATCCATGATGCTCTTTACAGTAATCCATTCAAATAACTCTTCTCTAGTGTCATTGATTAGAAATCCAGGTTGATGGAAGAGCTTGGACTATGCAGCATGATGAGGCTAAATTGGTTGTAACTCAGCCTCAACACTATCCAATCCAATAAATAATGAATTCATAATTTTCTGAAATCAGTTTTTAAAATGCACTCTAAATGTATGAAAAAACACAACAAAAGTCATGCAAACAGTGGACAACAATCAAAGCACTGTAATAAAACAATATTTTCTCAAATCCTAAAACCATATCTCACATTTTTTGTACTCAAATTATTTAAGCTAAACGAATGCACCATTACTGAGAATTGACTTCTGATTAAGACTCAAATTAAACTATTTTAATTGGTAGAAAAGAAAAAGAAAAAAAACAAAAAAACACCCAATTCATAAAATCTAGCAGGTCAGAAATGCAATATTCTTATCACCTTTCTGTCTAATAAATTGACACGCAAAAAGTTTTCATATGATGTTGCATCAGTTTAGTTCATCTTTGCATTTTATGCCCCTTTTTCAGCTCCACCTGGTCTGGCTCTATAATCCTCCCAATTCCAGTTGTTTTCCACTCGCTCTGTTACATCCATGGTTCTTAAACAGTGGTAAAAAGAAGTAATACATTAGAGCTATGTTTCCCAACTTTTTTTGACTTGTGTACTCCTTTGGGCATTTTGTCTTACCATGAGTACCCCTCTCAGTCAAAAGTATTGATGACTAGAATGTGCAATACTTCATTATAAAATATGCATCTAATTCTTAGCCATTTGATTCTTTCGATCGCAAATAAAAAACAACAACATAAATATGTAGCCCGGAACTTAGTAAGGAATCAAAAATAAATACATAAGAATAAAATATAAACTTGAGGAAGTGGGAACAAAATACCGAACAAAAATTATAGTCAGACTGACTCCATTTATTTTACTATGATTTCAAAATTCATGACACCTGAGCTTGCTTTGATGAGCTCAGGTGTGAAAAACACCAAATACAAGACTGTTCTCTACATCCAGTCTGCTCGTCTGCCTTGTTTTGATGTTTCTCAAAGCTGAAGGTGACTCAAACATAGAAGAAAAAAGGACTATTTGGTTGATAAAAACTTGCTTAAAGTTTTTTTTTCCAATTGTGTCCCCACAAAGTAAAACAGATCCCAGCCCTATTTTGTTTTACTACCTAAGAAATAAATTATTTTCATGTAGTCCTTGCAATGCAGTTCACGGGCCACTAGCGGTACGAGTACCCCTGGTTGGGAATCGTTACATTAGAGGATATACAGTACTGTAGAGTAAGAAAGGACACAGCCAGGTTGATGAAAGTTACATAACAGAACATTTTCTTTAACAATACTAGCAAAGCAAACTTTAGTGAAAAATATCTTTAAGACCTTTTCCTGAGAACTAAGGTCGGTGACAACGAGGAGAAAGTCTTAATATTAGTAATGGTAACAGAGTTCAAACTTAAGTTAAATGAAACATCTTTTTAAATGAGCATTTCTACATTATTGTGAAAGTTATAACCTTTGTGTATATTTTAAAGAAATGTTAATGAACCCAGATTAGGTCAGATAAGAGTGCAACAATTAATAAAAAAGTTGTTTTAACAACATGCTAAAAAAGCCATCTTTAACTTAAAAAAATTGACTTTTATTAGACTTACTACTTTATTTAGTTTGTAACAACACAAATAAGGTAATGTTCTGCAATCATAATGTTTTTTTTTTCTTTTTACTTTTTGCACTTTACAGTCATTGAAGAAGTTAATTGCTCATGAAAATCATTGGTTGGAGAAAAAGTCAGCCTCTTAGATTTCTGTTGAACCAATGACAGATGGTTTAATGAAGCCAAAGGCCACCTACCCTTTGCATTTTTTTTACATGACACCTGAATAATATGTGAGTCAGCTGAGCTGAAAGGTTGTACTAGTTGGGAGAATAAATTGCAAGAAAATTAGTCAGTGCTGATTCATGGGGTCAAATCACATCTTAAGCCCCACTTAATTAGCACTAATAGTTAAGATTGCACACACTCATTCTGTCATTGTTCCTACATCACTTAGCAAAAGGATCCATTTATTGAACAGATTAAAGAGGGAAAGACAAAAAATGATTTCTTTATTTAAAAACAGCACTTTCATATCTTTTCAACTAAATGTATTTAATATTTCAGATGAGTACTATGCAAAGCCTGAATTCTAAACAATTTTGTATAGCAAGTTATCTCAGGAATGCTCATTCAACACAACAAAAATGGAAAAGTAAAAGATGTTTTCTGCACGAATCATAATCAATAGGCAAACAGACAACTGTGGATGTGTAAAAACGGATGAGTCATATTTATGTGGCTCAAAAATCATCATTAGAGAATTAATTAAAATCTAATTTGATAATGACTAATTAGTAACCATTTAACAAAGTAATTAACATTCTCAAATGTGTTTTTTTCTGTTTATTTCCTAACTTATCACTTGTGTGCTGAGAACAGGACAGATGGTGTTATTTTGTTATTAAAGAGTAAAATGTTTAACAAAGGCTCCAAACAAAGAAGAAAATCACATAAATTTAAAAAGATAAATCTGATAAAATAGGGATTTTGACAGACTTTATATTGAAACTGTATCCAGAAAATAAAAACCTTTGAACTTGAACACAGCTTAGGTTCTAAAAAGGGATATTTATGCTGTCCACACTCAGGATGACACATCCTTTGAGTGACGGGCTTTGGCGCTGTACTGTTCTTGTCATATGTATTGACCAGCGGATTAGAGATGTAATCCTCTTAGGGGTACGTTTGCTCATGCAGAACCTCAACTGAATCAAGTCACATACGCAGCTGTGCTAAACACCTGCACTGTACTTACTGATGGAATCTGGGTTGGAGTCCTCAGTTATTGAACACATCCCTGATAGCCTTGTAGAGGGTAGATCTTTCCTGAATTCTCTCACTGGTTTCTGTAGAGAAAGATTGATAAAGATGCATGTTAAATGCTGCTTTTCCTCACAGGGAATGTTAATTAAAAGCGTTGAGGATTTATCTCCACAGAACACAACAATTTTCACAAAAAAACTTAGATCATGGATAACTTTCTCTTTCTTGAACAAAATACTATTGGAGAAGTGTAAGCTAATAAAAACCCTGTGTTTCAGTTTAGTTAACCAAAGTTAGTTTTTCTAATTAATCAAACATAGCCTGCACTTCTCCATTATGTTAATGACTTTCCCACAAAGCAAGTAAGAATGCATAAACTGCCCAAGGGGAGACTACTTTGGCACAAATTTCATGCATTTTTATTGGATCCTGAAGTAGCGACAACAAAAAAGCTTTGCACATAGAAATATGGATGCTCTGCATTTCCAAATATGCTTAATGGAGATGAAACACAATTTTTTTTATTGCTTGGCCATCTTTTATCCTTTTATGTATCTGTTTACAGACTCTACAGAACGCTGCAATCTTAGGTTGCAATTTTCTAAACTACATACATATTTATGTCTTGAAAGCACATTGTAACAAAGTATTTCGAGTGTGCATCTTTCAAACAAAACATTTTGGTGCTTTCATCCATTGTGATCCACAGTGTGTGACATGTGGTACCAAATGAGAAGCTTGGGCAAAATCCAATCTTCACCAATCAGTGATGGGAATTTGCAGATTTTCACTAAATTAGAGGACAAAAGAAAATGCGATTCAATTAGCTTCCAAGGCTGCTATTTGCATTTTAGTGAAAGGGGTGATAGTTAAAATGGCCTATGGCAGGTGCCTTTCTGCAAAGAACCATGACAACACACAGCTGAACCAAGAGAAAAGGGTAGTTTGGGAGTCTTCAGCTGTATTCTTTTAATCACTCATCATAATGACACCATTTAGTACTTCAATGACCCATTTCACAGCATTGAACAGGCATTGGAAGCTCTTCGTCCTTGGCAGGGTCGGTTCTGCAGCTGCCCCTGTTCCCATGGACGTTTTTTCCATTGGGCTTGGGAGGCAGGTTTATCCCTCATTTTCTCTTATTAACACTTACACTCCCAAATTATCACCAAAAATAAGGTGTGGTCTAAATATCTGTCCATTAGGGATGTCCGTTTATAAAGGTGCTCATGATGTGAGCAAAGCTTCAGAGGAGTTAAAGTCTGACATGTACTGTAACCATCCTCGTACCATCAATAAAGACATTTAGAAAATCATACAAATTTAAAACATAAATAAATAATGACCCATTGGTTATTCCATGCAGACCAGACTTTTCCTTTAAGGAAAGCCAAGTTGAGAACAAAAAAGTGTTAGAAAGGTAACTATAATCAGCGTCCAAAATTAGATTGGAGGGTGGAAGCATGGCTTTGTTTTACCTAAAAAAAAGTGGAACATAATTTAACAGTTCTTGAATTGCTAAGAGAAGCAGGCAGGTCATCTGTCAAAAAAACAGCTGCATTTTGTTTCATCCTGAAAAGGTATTTTTTTTTAAAAACTGTGTCAAATAAGGCATTTTGAGGGGATGCGGAAATAATGTTGCATGTCAGGGATGTTTTTAAGGGCTTTTGATTCTGATACGGATACTATAGGGCCTCAACTTTGCTTTTTGCAGATAATGTACATGTTTGAGCCAAGTGTGTAGGATGGGAGCCTCCTCAATTTCTTCACAGAAAAAATGTGGACTGCTTCATCCAAGTGTGAGGCATGTCTGTGTCTGAAGCTGTGGTGATTTTTGCCTTATCTCCAGAAAGACAGAGGCTGCTCCGCTCTCTTGTGATAAAAAAAAAAAAAAAAAAAAGAAATACATATAATACATATACAAGACAATGAAATACTCTTTCCCCTTAGGGTGCTGAACATGGTCTTAGATATAAGATTACAAGCCCCGTCTTCCAGAGATTATATTGTAACAAAGCTGACGCTACTCCACACTGAAAGGAGTCCTCCATGATGATTCAAGTGTCACTCTTTTTGTTTTTTTCTGCACATATACTACTGGAAAGTACTATACAATACACGTGAAAGCCTTAAGATCCCCTATAATGATTCAACGGTGTACCAAGAGAGAGAGAGATCCTTGGATTTTTGTTGCAGGTCCCTAGCTTTGCAATTTGGTAAAGAAAATTCAATTGCTGAGCTTCACCTCTCATAAAATGATCATTAATTGTATTAATTACATTTTTGCTATATCAAAATCATTTGATAATGATTTGTCACATTATTTTTTTTTCCATCCATTTATTTTCCGTCACCCTTATCCCAAGCAGGGTCGCTGATGCCTGTCTCCAGCTCTCAATGGGCGAGAGGCGAGGTACACCCTGCACAGGTCGCCAGTCCATCGCAAGGAAACACAGAGATAAAAAGGACAAACAACCATTTATGCACACACTCACACCTAAGGAGAATTTAGAGAGGCCAATCAACCTAACAGTCATGTTTTTGGACCCACGCATGCAGGGAGAAGGTGCAAACTCCATGCAGAACTTCTCTGGGCCGGGAATCAAACCAAGAACCTTCTTGTTGTAAGGCAACAGTGCTACCTACTGTGCCAATGAGCAACCTCATTATTTTTTTCAGTTCTTACATTTTTTCACCAGTATGTATAGTATGATAAATATAAATTGAGAAAGCATAAGTTCACTTCTAATCGCCTGTGTAAGAATGAAGTTTGAAATCTTAGGTGAGTGGCGGCCTAGTGGTTAGGGCATAGAACTTGGAATCTTGAAGTACTGGGTTCGAGCCCCACTCCCACAGACTGTTACTCTGGGTCTCTGAGCAAGACCCTTAACCCCACAATGCACCCCAGGCATCCCATGTTGGCAGCCCACTGGTCCCCAAGGGGATGGGTTGAAATGGAGAGGTAAATTTCTCCAATGTAAGATCCCTAAAGTTCAGATAAAACATTATATACAATATTATTTAATGTCCTTTGTCTTTTATCAGCAGATGCTGGGAAATCTTCACAGAATCTCCACATCTAGTGATGTGATTAGGATAAACAATTGATGTTGTTTACCTCAATCCATTACCTCCAGGAACCAGATCTTAAATATTTTAGCTCATGTAAATAAGCGCTCAGTAAAAAGGCCATTAATGTGGGAAACTAATTAATTAACAGGATATTAATTAAGTCCTATATGTCCTATATATTCAACCAGGACCAATCCTTTTCCTACATGTAGGTTTATTTTTACTTTTTAGAGCATCCTTAGCAGGCAAGTAGTCCAAGCCATTTAACTATACTTAGGCTTAGCTTACATGCTGTAAAATTACATTGAAGAACTGTCTCTACATTAAAATTTATGACCAAAGGGTGTAAAAAGCTTTAGTATGTGATGACAGTTGGGAGGATGTGTTAACTGTGAAAAGCTTCTTTTTCATTTATTTATTTATTTATTTTTTTATTGAATGAGCGCAAATGGATTCTTGTGTTCTGATAAATTGTTTTGCCTCATCTGCCCCGGTAATACAACCTTATATTATACTCATGAGGGTAGGACAACATACCACCATTAGTTTAGCTAAAGAGGTCAAGTTTCTGCCACAGCTGTTACCTTGTTATTCTGCAACATTATTGATTCTGGAAGCACAATTTTTTTTCATATTCAAAGTGGTACTCAGTGTTGTAGATGAAAATGGTGGAACCTTGTACTGCTTCAGGGCAGCCATCTGCTGAATGCTCCATGGTCAAAAACTTTTCTTTTCTTCTTTCGTGGGAGGGTAGGGAGTCATGATGGCTAGAAGCAGCCCACCCAATATGGTCTCAAAGAGCAGGGGGGGTTTGGCAAACGTCTGTGATGCTGACCCAGAGCATTCAAAGGTTGAGCTTTGGCACTGATCTGACTGATTCTGCACAGCTGTTAAGGTGCAGAGGAGTGCACAAAGATATGAGGACAAAAATAGATTGCTAGGGTCCACAGCTCAATGCTGGTCTTAAGAATGTGAATCACAGCCAGGTTGATCTGTTGCATGCTTATTTTGTACAAATTAAATGCCACACTTACAAATGTGAAGACAAAACTTATTTCACGATTTGCCTTTTTGTATTTTTTCATCATAGATCCACAGAGGTCAAATTTTACATAGCTACAGTTCAAAATAATGTTTAGACGAGACCTTCTTTTCCTGCTGAGTCACAACCTTCTTTAACAAATATTACAAGTAGCATTCAGTACAAAAAAAAACCCAAAACATTTTGTTCGTGCACTTTATACACAGGTTTTTAGTTAACATAGAGGACATCACAAGCAATTCCTGGAATGAGATAGTCGTGAAAACCAAGCTTTAACACTCCTTTGTTCTCTCAAGGTGAACTTTTCTATTGTAGATAGTTGGTACTGAAGTCAAGTTTTTTTTTTTTTGTCAGTGTTTGTTTCTCTTATAAAACTTGATCAAACTTGTTTCTAATGATTGAAGGTGTTTCCTGAAGCATTTGATGCTTTTAGTGACATTTTCATAAAAATCTACTCTAAAGAAGTCCTTGCATCTACTGTACTTGTTTTCTGCTGTTCATGGGACTTCCAGGGATTGATATTTGTATCAAACATCCCTGCATCATCACACTTGTATAACTACCTTCTAGTATAAGTAAAGTGTATATCTCTATAAGCTCCACGCACTTAAAGGAAAAGCGATTTGCACATTCTCCGTACAAAAAAACTGCACATATGTAATTTTGGACTTAAACCTGTGAACAGCAATTTTCAAGTAAAAAAGAACAAGAAACAAACATTGCATTTCAGCTCTTGTTTGTCTGTTTGAGTCTTTTTCACAGAAATGGGGAGCATCTAAAGCATCTACCAGGTGTATGTACTATATATATATATATATATATATATATATATATATATATATATATATATATATATATATATATATATATATATATATATATATATATATATATATATGTATATAAAATAAATATTCAAAAATATTCACTACAGAAACGTCTAAAAATTCAAATACTACTTTGAGCACA